CCGTCTCCTTCAATGGGAACCCTGCGCATTCTGACCAAACCCAGGAAGCGGGGGACAAGCGGGACGAGGTACAGACCCAGATGTCCTCTTGTTGATGTGGAACTGCTCACAAATGTCCGAGGCCAGCACGGTCAGCTGAGGCCCCACGATGCTGTCCAGTCGGCGGCAAAAGTCCAATGTGGGCTGGGTGGCAGCTAGCAGGCAAGAAGAAAAGAGCGTTCTGCCCCGGAGCTCTGGGTTTGATAGTCCCGGAGTGCGCTGCAGCCCTGACTTACTGACCACCTGTCTCAGTGTCAGGCCCTCCCTGCCCCCAACCCGTGCCAGGAGGAAGGTGGAGCAGGCGGAGTGAGTCCCACTGAAGAGGCAAAGGCCGCTCTCCTGGGTGGGAAGACCTGCTCCGCACCGTGTGTGTACGTGTACTATGTTCTTGTGCTCATGTGTGTGACTGGTGGCTGTAAAAGGATTGAAGCCCCTGCCAGTGCCAACCCAGGCGGATTGTGACTCAGTGAGCAGGGCAGAGTCAGCTGCTCAGAGCACAGACTGCCACAAAGGGGCGGGGCTGTGGGCAGAGCCAGGTAAGCCGCGAGGAGCAAAGGGCAACATGGGCACACGTACCGTCGATCATGAAGCACACGGCCGCACTCATGGCCTGGGGAGCAAACAGCAGAGGTTACACGGGGGTAACAACCATGCACCCCAACCACAAAGCCAGGCAAGAGACTTCAGCCACCGCACAGTTAGCGTGGACAGGGCGCAAGGTGGTGGCTCCATGTGCTGGCTGTGCGACCCTGGAACCCGTCCCTATCAGTGGGAGGGGCAGTCTGGTGGCACAGAGGTTAAGTGCTCAGCTGGCAACTGAAAGGTCAGAGGTCTGAAGCCACCAGCTGCTCTGGCCTACAGGCACCCCAAGAGGCAGCACCCAACGAGTGGATGGGCTCAGGGTGCAGGCTGCGGTGTTGGGGAGGGACGGGGAATTTAAATACTCGATCAACAGCAGCAAGTAACATGGCATAATGATGTTCACCCAAGGGGCTACTGGGAAGCAGGGGCCTGGTCTCCTGGTCTAGTCTGGGTATGGGTGACACGTCCGTGAAGATGAGTTACAAACAAAACCACCACCAGTAGCAGAGGAATGTCACCTGGTCTCAATGGGCTGTCACACCCGGGACCCACAGTCAGGACATTACTGAGAACAACTGCCTCCCACCCCCAGACGAAAATCACCAGAAGGGCCTGTCATTCACACTGATCAGAGCTGTGTACCCTGGGATGAATGGTTCCAGGCCCCTGTCCCAAAAGACAGGCCAAAGACCTCATCCCTGGACCTGTGACTGTGACCTTGTCTACAAAGGCTGTCGGGGTAATGCTGGGTCAGGCACCAGTCGGAAGGAGGAGCAGCCTGCCTGCCCGGATAGGACCAGGGGCCTACAAATCAATGAGCCAGCCGCCTTGGCACCAAACGGAATGATCCTCAAATCCTGCCTCAGAATTTTTATGGATGGAGACCCATTTAGAGCCCCTGAAGCTGAGAATCCCCTCCTTCCCCTTCCTCTATTTGCCCACCTGTGGTTTCTACCCACTCCCTTTATTGCTTTACCCTCCTCCCCTCCAACTCACTCTCCACCACAGACAAGCATGACTTCTC